TAAAAGAGTTTTCCTCTCACAAAAGATTTCTCTGTAGCACCTAATGCTGTGTTAAAAATTCTTTTAAAATTATTTAAAAATTCTTTCAAAATTGGAGTCAATTCTCTCAAATCCTGCCATTGCTCCATCAACAAAGGTTATATAATACTCTAAATCCTTTGTATGAATTTCAACAATGTTCACAGCATCTTCACCAGGAGTAGATTCTATCTCGAGAAGCTACTTTCTTCGCTCATCCATAAGAAGCTGCTTCCATCCATTCAAGTTTTATTGCGCGATTGCAGCAACATCTTCAGGCCCCACTTCGAATTCTCTTTCTCTTGGTATTTCTATTCACATTTGCAGTGACTTCCTCCACTGAAGTCTTGAATCCTCAACGTCATTCATGAGGGTTGGAATAAATTTCTCTCAAACTCCTGTTCATATTGATATTTTCACCTCTTTCCATGGATCACAGCTGTTCTTAATGGCATCTACAATGGTGAATCCTTTCCAGTTTTCAATTTACTTTGTCCAGATCCATCTAAGGAATCACTATCTATGGCAGGTATAGACTTACATAATTTTATTTATTAAATCATTAGACTTGAAGTAGAAATTATTCCTTGCTTCAGGGTCTACAGAATGAATGCGGTGTTAGAAGGCATTAAAACAAGATTAATCTCCTTTAACATCTCCAGCAGACATGTTGGGTGACCAGGTGTATTGTCAATGAGAAATAACATCTTAAAAGGAATCTTTTTTTTCTGAACAGGTCTCAACAGTGGGCTTAAAATATTTAGTAAACCATGCTGTCAGCAAATGTGTTGTCACCCAGCACACAAATGGAATGTGTCATTCCATTTATAGAGCACAGACAGAGTGGAATTATCATAATTCTTAGGGTTCCTAGGAATGGTAAATGAGCATTGGCTTCAACTTAAGGTCACCAGCTGCATTAGCCCCTAACAAGAGAGCAGCCTGTCCTTTGAAGCTGTGAGGCCAGGCATTGACTTCTGCTCTCTAGCTATGAAAGTCCTAATGAGATTATCTTCCATTTGAAGGCTGTTACACTTCCCTTGAAAATCTTTGTTTAGTGAAGATGATGACCTGAGCCAGATCCCCTGGAAAACTTGCTGCAGCGTCTCCTTCAGCACTTGCTGTGTCACCTTGCACTGGTATGTTATGGAGACAGCGTCTTTCCTTTAATCTCATGAATCTTTGCTACCTTCTCATTTCTCTTCTGCAGGTTCCTCACCTCTTTCAGCCTTTACAGAATTGAAGAGAGTTAGGGTCTTGCTCCGGATTGTCTCCTTTGACTTAAAGGAATGTTGTGGCTGGTTTGATTTTTCTATCCAGATCACTAAGACTTTCTCTATCAGCAATAAAGCTGTTAGCTTTCTTCTCATTCATGTGTTCACTGGAGTACCACTTTTAATTTTCTTCCAGAATTTTTCCTTTGCATTCGCGATTTGACTGGTGCAAGAGGCCTTTCTCAGCTTTTGACATGCCCTTCTCACTAATTGTAATCATTTCTATCTTTTGATTTAAAGTGAGAGATGCGAGATACTTCCTTTCACTTGAACACTTGGAGGTCATTATCGGGTAATTAATTATCCTACCTTCAGTATTGCTGTGTCTCAGAATTTAGGGAGGCCCGAGGAGAATGGGAGAGACAGAGGAACAGCTGGTCAGTGGAGCAATCAGAACACACACGTTAAGCTCTCCGTCTTGTGTGAGCACGGTTCATGGCGCTCTCCCCACAAAAAAATTACAATAGAAACATCAAAGATCACTGAGTGCAGATCAACATAACAGGCAAAATAATAACAAATTGTTTGAAATATTGTGAGATTTACCAAAATGTGACACAGAGATAGGAGGGGAGCACATGCTGTTGAAAAAATGGTGCTGGGGCCGGGCGCGGTGGCTCACGCCTGTAATCCCAGCACTTTGGGAGGCCGAGGCGGGTGGATCACGAGGTCAAGAGATGAGACCATCCTGGTCAAAATGGTGGTGGCGCGTGCCTGTAATCCCAGCTACTCAGGAGGCTGAGGCAGGAGAATTGCCTGAACCCAGGAGGCGGAGGTTGCGGTGAGCCGAGATGGCGCCATTGCACTCCAGCCTGGGTAACAAGAGCGAAACTCCGTCTTAAAAAAAAAAAAAAAAAAAAAAGGTGCTGATGGACTTGCTCAAAGCAGGATTGCCACAAATTATCTGTTTGTAAAAAGCGCAATATTTGAGAAGTACAATAAAATAACGTGCAATAAAACCCGATGTGCCTGTATTTGAATATGTGTATGTGCTATCTAACTATCTAACGTTCAGTAGTCTCATTGCTTTCTCCTTCCCCTTTTAAAATCTCAGAATCTATTGTCTGACCACCAGCCTCCCTTCTGTGGGACTTTCTTGTGTGTTTGGTCTTTGTGGCCATCGCCTGGGTGGCTGACCTGGGGCTCATTAATTCTGATACCTTGACACCTTATTGATGCTGCTTATGCTAATTGTAGGTGCTGCTACAGCCTCAGTTCTACTTGTTCCTTTTTGCTCTTTTAGCTAAAACCTCAGGGGGACTGGTTTTGTCATGTTGCTCATTTCCATTTTTCATTGCTTTTCATTATTTCTGTAGTGGACGCAGTGTCAGGCTGAAAAAAGTGTGTTCCTCTTTTTAATACAATCTAGGAAACTCCAGAAGGAAAGAAGACATAAGCATGATTTTTACTAAAACCTATACAGTTCTTCATTTTTGCCTGTGATATTTATTATTTATTTTTAAAACAAAGATGTTGGCCAGTCTTAGGCAATTTAAACACATAAAAAAACAAAACAAAAACTGTCATACCTGCTCAGACATTCTCCAGCATGTAGTATGAAAACAAAGTGAAGCAATTGCTTACATCAGCAGATTCCTACACCTTGCTGAATACCCTAACAACTTGGCTCCAAATATGACTATCGGGGACGAAGGGGACTTGGGTTGAACAATGACAACAAATAAACAAACCCCGCTGACTGGTTGATGAGATGGAGGATAGATGGTTACAGAACCAATGTTGGGGGATGTGCTGAAATAGCACAGAGCCACAATGGGCAGTGGTTCCCAGCTCTTACTCATTTTTTTTTTTTTTTTTTAAGACAGAGTCTCGCTCTGGTGCCCAGATTGGGGTGTAGCGGCACAATCTTGGCTCATTGCAACCTCCACCTCCTGGGTTAAAGCAATTCTCCTGCCTCAGCCTCCCGAGTAACCGGGATTACAGGTGCTCACCACCAAACCTGGCTAATTTTTGTATTTTCAGTAGAGACGGGATTTCACCATGTTGGTCAGGCCGGTCTCACACTTCTGACCTCAGGTGATCCACCCACCTTGGTCTCCCAAAGTGCTGGGATTACAGGTGTGAGCTACTACATCCAGCCCTCTTGTTCATTTTAAAATTACTAGTCTGTGGTTGTTTGGTAATGTGCACAGGGCACTGTGGGGTGCTGACATCTGGAGAGAGTGACAGAGGCATTGGAGTGGGGGTGCTCTGTTGGGGAGAGCCGCAGTCTGGTGACAATATTGAGTATGTTATTGTATGTTTTTGTGTGTCTTTGGAGTGAGTGAATATGGTGGAAAAAGACCCTGGAAGGGGAGTTTGAGGTCAGACAGGAAAGGGCCTGAATGCCACATCAACTTTGCCATGGGCCCCGCATTCTGATGACACTTGTGTGAGTCAAGGTTCCAGGAGACTCATTGTAGAATCAATTGAGGAGAAGTTAATGAGAGGATCATTTGTAAAGGGGTGAGCATGGTGTAGGGAAACCGTTCAGGGTTAGTGCAGTCCCTGGATTTAAGAAAAGAGAGTGCAGCTATCACCTGCAGGCCTGAGGGTGTGAGAAGAGGGCGTGACTCCTTTACCCTGAGAAGGCTGGGGCTGTTTGCAGACCCCACAGGGGAGGAGCTAGGAGATGAGTACTTGCTTTTCTTTCTCCATCTGGTCTGATTTCCTAGCGTTGCTGCCTGTACTAGTCAGGGTTCTTTGGAGAAACAGAACCACTGTGGTAGTGGTGGTGTGTGTGTGTGTGTGTGTGTGTGTGTGTGTGTGTGTGTGACAGACAGAGGGACAGAGAGACATTCGTTTATATAAGGAACTGGCTCATGGGATTGTGGAGGCATGGTGAGACTGAAGACTGATGGGGTAGGCTGTGAGGCTGGAGACTCAGGGAACATTCGCAGTTTAAGTTCAAAGGCTGTCTGCTGGCAGAATTCCTGCTTGCTCAGGGGGAGGTCAGTCTTTGTTCTATGAAGATCTTCCACAGATTGGATAAAGCTCACCCCCGTTAGGTAGGGTATTCTGCTTCAAGTCCGCTGATTTAAATGTTATTCTCATCCACAAAACAGCTTCATAGAACCATGTAGAATAATGTTCGACCGTGTATCTGTGTACTGTGTCCGACCAAGCTGATACATTAAAATTAATGATCACACTGCCCATTGGTCGATCTCAATCAGAAGCCAGAGGGCAGGGAACCTGGATGCTTTGGGGGTGTGCCAGCCTCCGAGGCAGAGTGGTAAAGGCTGGACATGGAGGGGCAAACCACTCACCCCAATGTGATGTGAAAAAAGAAAGGGAGGGTTTTGCCTTTGCATCCTCTCTCTTCTGTCTAGAAGCTTGGATTGGGGTCGTGGGTCTTTCTGAAATTTAAGTGTTTCCAGAGACCCTGTATAATACAAGCCCTCCTCCTGCCTCCCTGCAAATGAGTACAGGCTTCAGGTAGAAATGAAATCTCTTAAAACACTGCTGGTTTTCCTTTATACTTTTATTCAATTTTTTTCTTAAATTACATGAATGGCAGTATAAGCCATGTGTGATTTCAAAAGGCAGTCACCTACACAGTCTGGAGAAATAGCAAACTTTAATCTTGAGATCTGTGTGCCGATTTCACTGTAATAATCCCCCCACACCCTGCAACCTGCACCCTGGCTGTTCTGCACTTGCAGAGGATGGCACAGAAGGACTTAAGTTGTTTCAAGAAAGATTTAAGTGAGATCTGATAAGCAGCTTTTTTACGGAGGCTGTGGATACTGGGAGGGGCTCTCTCCATTGGGCTATTTTGGATTTTGGACTTTACTGGAAAGCAGGTACGCCAGGGTCAAATTCACATCAGAGCAACACGTGTAAAATGGAGACTTGAAGAGTTTTTTAGCGATTCCAATGAGAAATGGTTTTTAATAATTGGATAATTGCCTTAATTCTCCACTTCATTTTGTATGATGCAATGTGTTTTGAGTTCTGCAATGATGTTCTACAGGAAATGACAAGAATTTGAAAACTATTATCACAAACAGATGACAAAGTGCTGTACTGGAGATACCGTAGGTCTAAATTCAGTTGACCTCAGGGATGGCTTCTAGAAGCAGAAAAGCCATGACAGCAGGGGCCATCCAGGTAGGGGGGCAGGCCAGCCTCTGCCCTGGTTAGCAGGGAAGTAGCAGGCTGCTGCTGCCTCGGCAAATTTACTTCCCTCTCTTGGGTCTTCCTTCCTAAAATGAGGGTCTGCTCGTGTCCCAGAAAATGGAGCAGAGCTGTGAGCATCATCTCCACCAGATGACACAGCTCAGATCATTATTCACATGTATGCCATGTATGGCATGGCTCGTGGGTGGAGGGAAACCAACCTTTCTGTTCTGGCTATAGCTGATTGGACTGGGCAAATATGCTGAGGCCACAGAGGGGCTGTGTCTTGTTTGGACATACGGGATGTCAGAGGCTCCCAGGGTTCCTGGGGGAGAGTCAGCCTAATCAAGGTGCCCATTTGACTAGTAGAAATCAAATCAAATCAAATGAAATCAAACAAGTATGTTATCTTTCAAGTTAATGCTAAGAAATCTGGCAGGTCACTTGAACTTGCTACCGCCCCGAAATGCCGAGTGATGAATCTGTCTCCATGAGGTCGCTGCATGTTTCAGAACTGGGATGCAAAGTTCAACTTCTCATGATCCCCCATTTTCATAGGTATCCTTGCAATACATTGCCATAATTCCAGGTGATCTGAGTCCCTCTTTCTTGTCCACTTGACTGGTTTGACTGACTTGACCAGTACAATCCCATCAAGCTCTAACAGTGTAACATTCCAATTCGGCTGTGACGCAATGTGGTGGCTGGGAGGCAGGGTGGTGAAGGAGCTAAGCTAATGGGCTCTGGGGTCACACTACCTGGGTCCATTTTGAGCTCTGCCAATTAGGTTGGGGTAAGTTCAACTCCTGTAGCACAAACACCAAGTAAGAATGCCTTCAACAAGCAAGATGGACGTTTATTTCATGATCACATAACAGTGTGGGTGTAAGCAGTTCAGGACTGATGTGGCAATCCTAAAATCTGTGGGATCCAGGCTCTTCTTGTCTTGTGGCTTCACCATCTTCAGGGTGTTTCTCTCACCCCTATGTTTTAGGTGCCTTCCGACAACCATAATCCTACCAGAAGAAAAAGGATGTAGGGAAGGGAAGGCACAGAAGGGAAGCTGCTCACAGGGCGACACCAACTGCAAAGGCAAATGGGAAGTGTAACCTGCATTGGTTTGTATTGCTGTATACCAGATGAGCATAGACTCAGTCGTTTAAATGACACAACTTTATTATCTCTCAGTTTCTGGGGATCAGGAGTGCTTGTCCTTTGCTCTGTGTCTCATCAGGCTGCAATCAAAATGTCATCCAGGGCTACGATCTCATCTGAGGCTCAGGTTGCTTGTCCAAGATCCCTGGTTATGGGCAGGATTTAGTTCCTTGTGATTGCAGCACTGAGGTCCCACTTTCTTGCTGACTGTCAGTGAGTCCGTTCCCAGCTTCTAGAGGCTGCCTGCTAGTCCCTGCCCTGTGGCCCCTTTCCACAACAAGGCATTGCATCTTCAAGGCCAGCAAGAACATTCCTTTGAATCTTTCTCTTCAGCAAAGGCCCAGTTTCTTTTAAGGGCTCACCTGATTAGGCCAGGCCCATCCAGAGTCATCTGCCTTTTGACTGACTCAAAGACAAATGATGTGGGACCTTAACTCCATCTGCAACATCCCTTTACTGCTGTCATATAATACAGCCTAATCTAAGGGAGCGATCATTTCATCCTATTACTAGTCCTACTTGTACTCAAGAGAAAGGGGTTTAAAGGGTATATACACCAGGGGGTAGGAATCTTGGGAACCATTTAGAATTCTGCCTACTTCATAATCTTTATTTGCGTGGCTATATGCCCAGCCAATAGTAATCAATACGATTCTGATTTCTGAAGTTCTATGACTGGAGAAGAACGGGAAAAATGATATTGGGGTTAACGAGTGGTCTCTGCTATAATAACTTATTATCCATGTTACCTTGTTATTTAACTTTTCTGTGCTTCAGCTTCTCCTATAAAACAGGGATGATGATAGTACTTCACTGATAGGTTTGTCGTGAGGCTTAACTTAGCTAGCATGCAGAGCAAGCTGCTCTACACATATGAAAATACTCATTAATGGTCAGCAATAATTCTCCTCTTCTTCCTCCTCCTTCTCCTTCCTCTCCTCCTCCTCCTCCTCCTTCCAAATCATGGATGAAACACAGAAATAAGGGAAAAAATTCAAGAGCCATAAAAAAATACAGCCATATCTTAATGACTAAGAAGTACAAAAGGGGCTTGTTGAAGTCTTTCCAATCTTGACCTTTTTTAGGCAAGTGCTAGACAGGTGGAAATCTGCAGAATATTCCCAGCACCTCAAACTCACCATTGCACAACAAATGATGTCACGCAGTGGAGATGCCCCTAGCTGACATCACATCCTGGGAGGAGGAGCTGCTAGGGCAAAACCTCTAGAACCCGATGTGCATTTTGCCAGCGAAACCAGAGTTGCACAGTTTCTATGAACTTAAAAGTTAATCATGCCCAGTATGGAGATGAAGCAAGAACGTGCGAATGCGTGTGGCATGCCTGTGTGTGAAATCAGCCACATATTGATTATTCTTTCCTACATGCTGAAGGGATGGGGTGGTTTTGAGAGCCGCTGGAAGAGACAAAGCAATGAGCTTATCATGTTGCTTGACTCAACGAGCTCTGGGATTTAGAAATGAAATCTGAGCCATTAGCGTGTGGCCTTACTTTTTTAATAGGAAAATGTTCCACACAGGTCTAGCGACGTTCATGTTAAGGTTTTTAACACTTTTGTATGCGTCTCAGATAGCCAACCTGGAGTGGTCCTTGAGCAACTCACAATACAAACAATTATTTCAGACATTTCAAAAATGAAGTGCTACCAGCTTCATTGTGTCCCTCAGCTCTGTCGAGTAATGAAAGACATATTCTTAATGTGAAACAAAAGAGGATTGTGAATATTAAAAAAGCAGCCCAGCCAGCTAGAGTTAAACCGTCGGGATAAGATATTAACTTAAACCACATGTGAAGTGCAGCTGTTTCTGGTGAAGCTTTCATCAGGCTCAAGTGGAAAGATTGGTGGGTTTTAATATGTGGTTTCCAGCCAAGCCAATAGGAATCTGGGGAAAATGTGTGTGAAATCAGGCCTCTGCCAGGGGGGTCTCGGGCTCTGGGCTGGCTTTTCTTTCTGTGAACATAAACAAAGGTAACCCAATGCTGAGGGCAAGGCCTGCTCCATCCAAAGGTTTAGCTGAAAGACTCTGGAGTGACCAGCCAGCCTGTGGAGTTTTTGGACTCTTCATTCTCGCTTTCAAGAAGAATGCATGAATAGGTCCCATGGTGTTAGGAGTAGGGATGAAGGAGGAGTCTTCTTATATCTGTCCTCTGCCACTTCATCTCAGAAACAACTAGAATTTGTTCAGCTCCAAATTACTGACAGCATCAGAAGGTGCCAACTGTGTTCGAACTTACTGGCATGCTGATTGGGTTTCACCTCTGAGGATTTAAATTTGCTAAGCAAAGGGGTGCTTTACACGATGCAGTACATACCTGTTATATGAACATAAAAATATTAGAAATTAATGAAAGAATATGAGATGAGTGCAAAAATAAGGATTCATTGCACACTACTTCTTTACAAAGACTAAATTAGTTAAATAGCTTAGAGGCTGGCTGGGCTGCTGCCTGATTTTGTCCAGCCAGTTCTGGAGGCCCTAGATGATTGCTTCTGGACTCACTGCTGGGTGACGCTGTCAGTCTTCCGCTGTGTACCTCCAGCATCACGATATCGCTTTCAGTTTCAGAGGTGTGGAACAGAAATAATCTTTATGGGCCCACAAATTCAGGAGTTGTGGGAGAAAAGTGGAAATGTCTGAACTGTACTCATTGACCTTATGAAAGCAGTTGAAATATTACCATTTCTATGCATTGATTCATGTATTTAACATTTATTAGGCAGCTAGACGATTCAAGAGACTTTGCAAAATGCTTTGGAGATGGAAAGATGTGTAAGAGGGAAATGAATTGACATTTATTGAGAATATACTATATGCCAGACATCATAGAGGCCGTTGGATTACATTTTCTCATTTAATTCCCAAAACCTTGAAAGGGAAAGATTATAAGATAAGATCTGTGCTCTCAAAAGCCTTCCAGTCTGTGATTAAATAGTAGGTAAAAGACATATTCAAACATCCATGAAATAAGATATTCTAACTATATGCCAAAGGAGAGGTTTTAATGGGAGTTAAGAGTCTGGAGTCATTACTTGGGGAATGAAAGAAAGTTTATTGGAGAAGACCACATTTGAGTTGGACATTGAAGGTTGGGTAGGATTTAGATTCACGGAGAGGGAGGACAAGGCATGACCCAGGTGAAGGAGAGGAAGAGTACAGGGAAAGCAAAAGGAAGAGGCAATCCCTATGAGTCTCATGCGACTCAGAGGTCAAGTGAAAATCACTTATAGAAATTTCCCTTATTATCACTTCATGGGTCTTGTACCAGGTGAAGTCCAATACCTTAAGGCTACACTGTATGAAAAATGCAGGTCTTTTGGGTCCTTTGTAGGGACATGGATGAACCTGGAAACCATCATTCTCAGCAAACTGACACAAGAGCAGAAGATCAAACACCGCATGTTCTCACTCATAGTCGGGTATTGAACAAAGAGAACACATGGACACAGGGAGGGGAGCACTACACACTGGGGTCAGTTGGAGGGAAATAGGGGAGGGACGATGGGGGGTGGGGAGCTGGGGAGAGATAGCAAGGGGAGAAATGCCAGATGTAGGTGATGGAGAGGAAGGCAGCAAATCACACTGCCAGGTGTGTACCTATGCAACAATTTTGCATGTTCTTCACATGTACCCTAAAACCTAAAATGCAATAAAATAAATGAATGGGAAAAAAAATGCAGGTCTTTAAAACACTCGATGCACATTCAGTGTGGTGAGATGCTGACACCATCAGAGGCCTGATCAGATGAAGGCCTGGTGAGGGCAGTGCAGGTCCTCCTTTCCAATCTCATGCGCACTCTGGGGCCCAAGTGTGTGAAGCGGGATGGCTGGCCCAGTGGCCAGCACTGTTTCATGTGTGGTCATCTCTCTGTCTAGTTATGATGGGGCTGTGCCATTGAGCTTCAAAGGTTAACTTCACTTAAAATTTGATTGTGAAGACTGTGATAGGGACCAAAATACAGAGTCAAGTCACTGTGGGAGAGCGTACATGTGTGCGGAGGTGGGGACAGTGTCGGAAGGTCAGGGTGTCGGGCAGGCCAGCCCTAGGAGGTGACAGAGAGCCAAGGATAGGTGTTTGGACTGCATTCGGTGCAGGGTTCGGTGGGAATAGGGTGTAAGGAAAAGTTTCAGGTAAGCTTGTTTTAGTACATGGGGACTATTGGATTGCAGCTAAGAAGTAGAGTTGTATTCTCTGAGAATTAGTTTCCCACATTCTACTTCATCATGTTGTGGCAAAAACTGCAATTACTTTTGCTCCAACTTAATAGAACTTGTTGAATCTGAGAAGAAAGTAAGTGCCTTTTCTAAAGCAGCCCGATTCCTGATAGGATGTTGAGGCTGAATCCTCATGCTTGAGGCTAAATCAATCAAGTCACTAGGCACCAGGCTCCAGGAAGGATGCAAGGAGGTTTGGGGGACAGTTTCTATCCTCAG